TGAATTAAAAAAATGAATTGTAGGACCTCCCTGGTGGCGCAAGGGGTTAAGCACAGCACTGTGATGCTACCCGCAGCCTCTGTAACATGAGTTCAATCCCTGGCCTGCCAGGGAGCTACCCACATGGCACAGCAGAATTCTCCTGTCTCACCCACTGCTCCCCTCAGCAGTGTATTTTCAGTCAGTCGGCCTGTTTCTGGTGAATCTCCTTACCACCCCACCCCCACACCTCTGGCCTGTACCCCAGTTCTTGTATGCATAAATAAATAAATCTTTAAAAAAATGAACTGCAAAGAAAACATAGTAGGTTTGTTCCTGGTGGTGGTATTGACATAGTAATCACCAACTATTTAGGATATATTGTTAGTAATGAGGGGATGAGTTAAATACATTGAAGGGAATAAGAACAAGGGAGAGGGCCTCCCTGGTGGCACAGCAGTTGAGCGCTGGGCTGTGAAGTTGCCCGCAGACTCTGTAGTGCTGGTTCGATCCCCCTGGCCACCGGGGAGGGTCCCACATGGCGCACAGTCTTCTCCTGCTGCACTCACTTGCTCCCCTCAGCAGTGTACTTCATCAGTCTGCCTGTTCTGCTCCCCACTCTGTCTCTGGTGAATTCTCTCACCCTCCCATGCTTCTGACTGTACCCAGTGCTGCTATAAACAAATAAATAAATAAATAGATCTTTAAAAAACAAAAAAAGAATGAGGGAGAAGGGTGTGCAAATACAGCATGGGAAAAGATGAGGCAGGATCCTGTTATATTGGATTTGAATTAGAGGAATCAGTCTGAACTCAGGTTTGTCTATTTAACAGACCTGGAAACCATAAACTCACCTAGCATCTAGTATCTTAGATTCTAAAATGAAAGGAATCAAGACTCATTGGAGGAACATTTGGTTACAGGTCTGGGCCATGGAACATCTTGTGCCAGAAAAATATTGTACCAGAAACATGGTGACTTCTTAACAAAACCATGAGCTGGCTTCAAAGGGATTCTCACTAGTCAAACGTGAGACAATTAGAGCATTAAAAGGAATGATGGCAACAGATTATAAAAATGAAAAAATAAGAGTCCAAAATGATGTAAAAATTTTATAACAAAAAACATTTTAAGCAATAATGAAATTCCAGTGACATCTTCAGTCTAGTTAATCATACCATGCCATGAAATTTCCTAGATTTGAAGGTGTACTGTGCAGGGGAAGCTGGATTTTGGGTACATGTGTATCTCCGTAATGTTTCTGTAATCTTTTTTAGGCCTATAATTATTTCAAGATAAAGGTTAACCAGTAAACATGTGGGTGTGCATGTGGTAGGGCAGTGTTCTTTCTCAGAAGAAAGTTAGCATAGGTAGAAGAAATGGTAGAATTAGAAAATATCACCCCTTACAATCACCAATGCAATAATTCATTCAGACAAAGATCATCAATGGATGATAAATCCATTGTATGAGTGTCATTAGAGAATGGGGTGTTCACATGGTCTCATCTCATAGATTATTTATTATCTACAAAGGTCAGAGGAGATTTTATGGTGGAAAAGTCTGTCAGACATCATCTCAACCAAGTGACAGAAAGGAAGCGTCTCACATGACTGTCTCATTAGTTCTTGCTCCTTCAATGCCAGGTGGGGTCGTTATCAATATTGAAACAAGATGAGATTGTGAACTTGCTGATTTGCTGGGATGAGAAGGATGCAGCAGCACTGATGCAGTACTTAGACCAAAATATCTAATGTGAATTTGATGGCAAAAATACAAACACCCTTATTTAATTATTTTATTTTATTTTTGTTGAGGCAACATTGGTTTACAACACTGCTAGTGATACAGACGCATGGGACCAAACCTCCTCAGATACATGCTACCACGCTGCATCCGCAGCAAAGGCACCCAGCCCTCCAAGAACAGGCCTCCTATCATGCTCTTTCTCTTCGCCCTCGCACACCCCATCTTTCAGCCTCAATTCTAGAATCATGTTTCTGGGGGCTTCTTACTGGTTCAGTTTTTTTCTGATTGTTTTACTTCTCTATACTCCACTTATAAGTGAAACCATTCAGTGCTTGTCCTTCTCCTTTGGACTTATTTCACTTAGCATGATCCCCTCCATTCCATCCATGTTGTTCCAGTGGCAAGAATTCATCTTTTTATAGCTGTGTTGAATTCCATTGTGTATATATATATCACATTGTTCTTCTCCAATTTTTGTCTCTGGGCACTTAGGTTATTTCCATAATTTGACCATTTTAAATAGGACTAAATGAACATGAACATGTGCTGGAGTCCGGCACAACCCAAAGGATGCAAAAACACTAATTCAAAGGGAAATAGACAAGTAGCATGACCCGCACCAGGGTTGATACTTAGAGATGAAATTGCTGGATCTATTTTAGTATTTTGAGAAACCTCCATAATTTTTTTCCATAGGGAATGTAGCAGTCTACATCCCCACCAACAGTGTACCAGGGTTCCCTTTTTTCCCACATCCTCACTAACACTTGCTGGTTTTGGTCCTTTTGATTTGAGCCACTCTCCCAGGTGAGATGGCATCACCTTGTGGTTTTGACTTGCATTTTCCTGATGATTAGTGATGATGAGTAATTTTTCATCTGCCTGTGGTCATCTGTATGTCTTTGGAAAAATGTCTACTTAGCTCTTCTGCTCATTTTTTGATTGAATACTCATATTTTGATTATAGGACATTATATTTGAGACTAGCCTGGACTCCAAAACTATCAGTGATAAGAGATTAAGTGGAAAAAAAAGAAAGCTGGAGACATTCTAAATTAACAAGACAAACAAGACTAAAGACAATGACTGTTAAGCAGAGTAGATTATTCTTGTTTGTATCCTGGATCAGAAAGAAAAGTTATAAAGATCATGACTGACACCACTGTGAAACCTCACATATATGGGCAGTATATTAGATAATATTATTGCATCAGTGTCTGGGGAGGTAAATGTCTTGGGAGTGAAAAACCATTGTGCTTATATAGGACATGCCTAGTTCTTAGGGGATACATATGGGTGGATTTCAGGGGACAAATTTCAAGATACCTGTAACTAATTTTCAAATGGTCAGCAAAAATGTTAAATTGAGGGAGAGTAATCAAGTAAATAGAGCAAAATGTTAGCAGTTGGTGAACCAAGTATAGAGAAAGGTATATGCGTAATATACTTCTAGCCCTTCATAAGTTTGAACGCTTTAAAAATAAAACCTTGGGATCATTAAAATTAGCTGACATTGGTTGATTTATAAATTTTCTTTTTCTTGCACTGGGATTGGAATCCCTCCCTCAGTTCTCAGCATGATGTGGCAAGAGTTGCTAGTGACCTAATTGCTCAATGAGTCCCAGGCTTCCACTGTATCTATAGAACAGGCAGCCCAGTCCTTTCACCTCTGGGCTCTGCCACTGTACCAGCAGGGACCATTAGTGGAAGCTGCTTGGCTCATCACTGAAGCTAAGAGAGCATCTGGGGAGTGATAGGGCTTCAGTGGCCTAAGGGCTTGCTGAACCCTTCAGCCTTAGGGAGTTAATACCTGGTGGATTACTCCTCAATCATAAAAGCTGCCTCAGTCTCCCTCACCCATTTGGTGATGGGTGAGGTGAGGCTTATAAACACAAAGAGGTAAAGATGTACTCCTGAAATTATATGATATTGTAAATCAATAAAATTTTATTAAATAAAAGAGACTTCTATTAGAATTGTATTGGAAAACATAGGATATATATGACTTTTCCTCAATGAACCATTTGCATTAGGCTTATTTTATGTAATATAAAGAATCTTCTCTTATTAGTGTTCTATCGGAAAATCTAGAATTCATGTTACATTGAGAGAATAATGTGGAGATAGCCAATTTTTTGCGATATTAAGAATATTGTGGGAGAATTCTATTGCAAAATCTGGAATAATAAAATAAAATAAAAATAAAATAAAATAAAATGGGAGACAGATGGAGTTGATTGTTTTCAGGAGGAGGGTCTTCTTTTTGGATGTAGCTGTTAATTACTGTGGCTATTCCAATAGTGAGTCACAATCACCTAACTGGCCTACGAAACTGGTCAAACAAAGAAACAGGTAAGAACATCCATTTACTCAACAGCAGGTTGTTTGCACTATGCTTTATATTGAGGCCGCAAAGATGAATAAGACATGGTCCATGGCAGACATGTGTTAATTGCATATTTGGGAGCATAGACTATAGATCACAGCCACATGGTAGTGGGTAAATGCACAGAGTGATCTTCATATTGTAGCTGAGGAGCAGCACCTAATTTAGGAAGTGAAGGCATGAGAGGAAGCCTCTTAAAGAGGGTGAAACAATTTTCTTCAGTTGTAAAACTACTTCCTTTTGTCCTCAAAGATGACAATCAGGAAATAAGGTCCATGAAGGGCAGGCGGGAGTGGACAGTGGTTCTAAAAAAGTTTTGCCATTTGACTACTCTTACTTTTCTCCATCCCATCACCAGCCTTGAGAAGCTGTTACTCCCCAGAAAACTTGGGGCAGTTGGTCATTCTCTGCTTTCCAATCCCTACCCTAGAATCTTCAGTTATAAATGATAATGTAAGAAGAAATAACTCAGATAACACGCAAATTCTGAAGCAGACACAGAGGGAGGAGGAAAAAAAGAGCTCACTCCATTTTTGCATTTTCTGCACAGATCAGACGCAGAAAACAAAGCCATCGCTCTTTCTCAACTCCGTGCTTTGCATTTGCTCTTCCTTCCTCCTGCAAGGTCCTGGTCTCCAGTATACCCAAACTCTGCATTTCCATCCCAGCTAAAATTGCATTTTCTCTTTAAAACCTTTTCCAACCATTCTAGCTGAAAGTGAAGGTCCCCTCCTGAGAAATGTAATAGCGCTTATTGTCTGTGTGCTCATGTGGCACGCATCAACTCTTATTTTAGAATTAGAAGAACCTCAGAGAAATCATAAGGAATTCAGAGATGTATTCATTCATGTGTAATTCACTCACACTTTCATTTGTTCATAACTAGGTACCACGTTCTGTGTTAGGCACTGGGGATGCCAAGATGAATCAAGTCCTGTCCTAACAGAGTCCACACCGTCCAGGTGAGATGGCCGGATACATAAGTAATGACAGCACAGGTAAAATGGGCTGTGATCGAGGCTACGCACCAGTAAGCAAAAATCATTGGAGCACCTACTGAATAACAGACACTGTTATCTGCCAGAAGATTTCAAAGCCCTTTATGAGGTTATGATCAGTTTAGAGTTAGAGGCAGATCCAAAAGCACATTATTTTAATAACATGGTGAGTGCTCCAGAAAATGTAAACTCAGGGTCTCTGAGGACACAGCAGAGGAACACTGAACAAAGCATGAGGATAGGTCGGGGGAGGTTTCCTGGAGGACGTGGCACCTGAGGTGGCCAGTTTGAGGTCAGAGAAAAAGATATGGAGGGTAATGGACACAGGGAGGAACTGGCAGATCAGAAATGACTTAGTAGAGTATATCAGTAGTTTTGTGATTGATTTTAGTTGCAGTGAAAATAATCTCAGACCTTCTTGTTTCTTCTGGAAAGTCTTATTTAACATGTATCTGTTGAATGATTTAGGCGAGACATTACACAGTATCTAGGAGGATGTCTGACTTGATTATCCAGGGGGATCTTGTAACTAGGGTTTCCTGAAACTATGAGGAGCCTAAGATAAAACAGTACTCATTTCCAATCTGAGCAACGTAACTTAAATCTCGTGTGTGTGTTAGCATTATACAATGGATCAATTTTAGGAATCAATGTTGTTGATGCCTCTTGGGAGGATTTATGGCATGAGGGAACGTGGGCGGGTCCAGCAGGAAGAAACCTACTCTTTATGCTTTTGTCCTATTTCCTTATTCCTTCCAAGTCCCCACTGATTCTGTTAATAATGATTAAGAAGTAAAATCAAATTAAATAAGTATACTGTCCTAGCTTCTCACTCCCTCTATCCCAACACATGCTCACACTCATACACATACATGGAATCAAACTCATCACAACACACAAACACACACACAGACATGGGTTTATTATGTGTTTGTTTTTTTCTTTTTCTTTTTTTTTAAAGATTTATTTATTTATTTATCTATCTATCTATCTATCTATTTATTTATTTAATCTTTGTACAATGGACACATTTTCATTTTGGTTATATTCCCCATACAATTGCACCCCCCCTTATTTTGACTCTAGTCCTTCCTTCCCTACCCCTCCCTCCCCCACCCTCGTAGTGTGTCTCTGGTTTATAGTTGCTTGTTGATTTTGAGTTTTACTTTGTATTGATTAGTCTTTTTCCTGGTGGGAGTGCAAACTGGTCCAAGCACTATGGAAAGCTGTGTGGAGATTTCTTGACCTACTAAACGTAGAGCTTCCATATGATCCAGCAATTCCACTCCTAGGTATTTACCCAAAGGACACAGAAACAGTAATTCCAAAGAACACCTGCACCCCTATGTTTATAGCAGCACTATTTACAATAGCTAAGCTATGGAAACAACCCAAATGCCCAAAAATAGATGACTGGATCAAGAAGATGTGGTACATATACACCATGGAATACTACTCAGCAATCAAAAAAGATAAACACATGCAGTTTGCAGCAACATGGATGGAACTAGAAGGGATCATGCTCAGCGAAGTAAGTCAGAAAGAAACAGAAAAATACTGGAGAGTCTCACTCATAGCAGGAATTTAGAAAACCTAAATAAGAGACCAGGAAAAAGACTAATCAATACAAAATGTTTGTTTTTTTTCATCCGTGCCAAACTCATCTGCCTTTCTTATTGTCAGACTATAAATCCCTATTGTTGGTGAACCTACAATGAGACTGCCTTGATGTCAATCTCCAGGGGCACAGCCTTAATGGTCTGGATTTGAAGAGGAGGCAACGAGACATTGCTGTGTTCAAACGAACAGCTCCAATCTCAAATTCCTTGCCCCCTCCTTGAATTGCTGGGAGGCGTGGAGCAATGGAGCACAGGGAAGAATTTCCCCTCTGCTTGGTATCTGTGCCAGAAACTTCCCAAAGCCCCTTTCAATCTGTTCTCTCCAGTGAGGCGCCCCTCCCAAACATGTGCCTGCTGGTACTGCTGCAGTGTCAGCTCCCTGGAGGTGGGGGTTCCGGCAAAGCAGCTTCAGTCTATCCGAGAAGGTCTGGGTGGGGGTGGAGATAGTTGGGGTGACTCTGGGGGTTCCAGCAGAATTTGGGTCAGGGAAGCATGAAAGGATGCTACTGTCTGATCCTCTTAACTTCTACTTTGACAAATGCAGAAACTATAGGTTTTTATGGTAATCGCTGCATCTTGGGATATGTGGCTAGGATTCAGGTGTATCTGATGTTTGGGACTTCAATGAAGAGCATAGTGCTGATCTAGGAATCAGAAGAAGCCAAGTACTCCTTTCTGTGTGGCCTCTGACTGGCTGGATGACTAACTACTATGCCTTTGGTCATGAGCATGGTCTACTTCACACATGGAGTGTCCACAGCTATGAAATTCTCTATGGAGCACTGGTTAGGTACCCAACATGATCATTTAAGTTAACTGCACCAACACTCCAGGACAGGCATTATCACTGCTTTACCACAGAAGAAATCAGAGAGAGGGAGGTAAGACACCTTATTTAAGGCCTCAAAGCCATCACAGATTTGGTGGCTTCAACACCTGTCTCTCCTGTCTCCCACAGTACCCAGAGCCCCATGTTCTGGGCAGTTAGGAAGTTACTTATATACCACACACTGATCTATAGCCCCATTAGTTTGTGAAGGGGTTAAAGGTTGAGACCACGCCTTGTAAGTATTTTTGGACAGTCTTCTTACCTGTGAAATAGGAATAATCACTCCATTTCTTCTCAAATGAGTCAATTCAAATAAAGGTCACCTGAGTCTTTGGAATTTGAAGGAGAAAGTGCAACTGGGGGTCTAAATACAAAGATGAGTCCATGCAGTCCCCCCAGAAACACCTCTTCTGTCTCCTGAATGCCCTGTTAGAGCTCACTCAGTTCTGCAAATTCCTCCTGGAGCTCAGTGCCAAATAAACATTCTCTCAAATTTCTTACATGTTATGAGGCATTGCAGATGACTCTGTATAATCAAATATGCCATTCCACATCTCATTTGTAATTTCACAATTTAGCTCTCTGCACCATTTAAGCACATATAGAGCCTCTAGAGAAATACTTATTTTTTTGCTAAAGCTTTTATATGTGAGCTTTGTGCTGATTTTGGTCTTTGCTGTGTCTAATAAGATTCTTGCAAAGTTTTCTCACTATGAAAGGCTTTACAAAATTTAAGGAACCATGGAAATAAGCCCTGGCCTGATATAGGTCAGGTATGCCAAGGAAGCAGCAGGCAGGAGGGCCAATGAGGAGTGACTGTTCTTTTCCTCTTCTATCTGTTGCTTTTATGTTGGGTTTGACTAGGCCTCTGGAGAATGCTACAACTGCTTGACAATGATGCAGAGCTTACATCTTTCAAAGCACATCTGACATGTCATTTTTGACTTGAGTTTCATAACTACTAGTAAGCAAGATAGGGCGGTTACTATTATTCCCACTGCATGGACAAGAAAACATGTTTGGAGAGGTTAAGTGACTTACCCAAATTCCATAAGGCCAAATTTAATCATTAATTAATTAATTGTAAGCCTAGACATCAAATAGAGATCTTTTGATAAGTCCAGTCAGTATCTTTCTGCTAATGCAGTTGGCCTGCCTAGTAGTGGTGCCACATAGTGGCTGAGCTGAGTTCCAGAGATGAGATTATGGTATATGGTCTCTATCTCCCATTTTGTTCTTGAATCCATCCCCACTGTCCAAGTCCTGACCACTGCCATCTCTCATCCATCCTTCTGTCACACAGTACTAAGTTGGTTCCTTAGTTCCAGTCTGGACCCATGTGGTCCAATAGCCACACTACAGCACAAATGACTTTCTTAAATGCAAACTTTCTTTATGTTCAGGAAGGCAATCAAAAGAATGTAACCACTTATTGATCAGAGCTCTGAGCCTGGGCACCTAGAGACTCTTGCTTCCTCACAGTCCTTGGAATGTGCATTATGCTTGTCTTCCCTGCTCCCAGAAGCTGCCCAAGGTCATATCCCTGAGGTCATATGTGCTGGAAAACATCTGGACAACATGTGATTAAGCCCAGTTAAATTTTCCATAGAATTTAAAAAATTTTTTTGGCTTCCGGTAACACTGGTTTACAACACTGTATATGATTTGGAAGGGTCTAGGACCAGCCCTCTTTATGTATGTGTTACCACACCACACCTACCACCAAGATACCCACAGGCCTCCACTACAGTCCCTTGTGCCCCTTCCTCTTTTTCTTCTCCATTCTCCCCCTCACCCTATGGTAGTCTGTTTTACTCAGATTTCTAGGAGATGTTTTTAGCTTGGTTCATCTGATACTTTGTTTTGTTTCTCTGTATTCCACATATGCGTGAAGTCATCCAGTATTTGTCTTTCTCTTTCTGGTTTATTATACTTAGCATAATCCCCTCTAGTTGCATTCATATTGTCACAAATGCAAGGGTTCATTTTTTATAGCTGCATAGTATTCCAGCATGTGTGTGTGTGTGTGTATTTACTTAATCCACTCATCTTCCTAACTGGCTATTGTATATAGTGCTGCAATGAATACAGGAATGTACATACTCCTTCAAGTTGGTGTTTTTGCATTCTTCGGGTAGATACCTAGGAATGGAATTGCTGGAGCATATGGTAGATCTATTTTTAAAATTTTAAGAAATCTCCATTAACTTTTAAGATTTGGGGATAGTGCAGAAAACTCTTATCTTCAAAACTCTTATCTTCAAGAAAAAATCTATTCTCTTGATTATTAGAACTGCCACCTACCAATACGGAGTGACAGGGGCCAGTTTCAGATGAGACAGGGTGCTTTCAGGGTAACATTGCCATTGACAAGGGGCTAGTTTCATATTATATCTGGGAAGCTCCTGAGGTTGTGACTCAACAATTTAAAGCACTCTTTTAATTTTCATGGTCTTTCACACTATGGGGGTGGGGAGGGAAAGAGGGATTAGAGTCAAAATAGAGGGGGTTGGAATTGTATGGGGAATATAACCAAGATGAAAATGTATACATTGTGCAAAAATAAAAAATGATGTAAAAATATATAAAAGAAAATATTAAAAAGAAAAAAGAACAATAATTTTCATGGTCTTTAATAAAAAAAAATCAACAATATCTAAATTCTCTACTGTGGCCTCCAAGTTCTGCATGAAAGGCTGCCGTTTGCTTCCCCATACCCACCTCCCCCTGCCACCCTCTCCTGTACTCTAAGTGCCAGCCCCTTCCACCACCATATTCTCTTGCCTTTGGGCCTTTTTTCTTTCTCTCTCTTTCTTATGACTCACTGTCACCTTCTATCTGCTACATCTTCATCTTGACAATGTTTAATAATTTTGGAATAGTTTGTAACCAGCCCACCCCCCACCCCAATGAATACAGTTTATAACCTGTTACTATTACCAGTGATAAAACATAAAGTTACCTTCATTTTTTGTAGCATGATCGATAGAGTTTATAAAATGCTGATCTTACTCCAGTAATTAGCATAACGAGGTGGGTAGGGATCTGTTTTATAAATGAAGACACTGAGGCTGGGAGCAGTTAAGTCGCTTGCCCACCTTCATGTCACGGGCAAGTGACAGATCCAGCACTTAGACATCAAGACTTGAGATTTTTAGTTCGCACAAAATTATGCAAGCTGTCCGCCTCATTTATCAGCTCCTATAAAGCATTTTGGGATGTGTAGTGTAAGGAGGCACAATAGAAAATTGAGTTGCCTTTCACAGACTAGAAGGGCTCTTGTATAAGATGTGTTCCTAAACAGAAGGAGAGAAAAAAAGAAAGGGAGAAAAATGATGTTGCTGGAACAGCAGGCACATGGGCTCATTAACCTTCCAAACAATCTCTAATCTCTCCTAGGTCTCTGCTGACCAGAAACAAGTCAGAGGGGAGTTTATGTGGTAAACTTCGACCCGCAGGGACAGGATCTCTGGAGAGAAAAAACATCACCAGTGGCCAGAGTTTGCTGTTCATGCTGAGTCATGGGGGGAGGGGGCAGTTCTTCTTTCTTGGAATAACTGGGAATCATCCTCCTGGAAAAAATATCAGTGTCCCCACCACTGTTGCCCAAATGCCATGAGTGCCGAGGGCAGTACAGCTCCAATTAAAAACCCCAGCTTACCAAGAGCCTTCTCTAACTCGATCACTCATTTATCATGTTTTCATACCACTCATTCAGCAACTGACAGGCGCGCAGTGAAGGAGCCACAGAGGACTGGGACATAGCCCTCAAGGTGGTTATTAATAGCAGTTGAAGAAGGGGAGGAAAGTACCCAAGAGGAGGGGAGAGGCAAAGGTTGGGTGACAACACTGGAAAAAAATATATATTTTTTATTATTTTTCTACAATAGTTTGGAGGATGAAAGTTCTAAGGCAGAAATTGATTGGGCAGTGGGAGGGGTGGGTGGGGAGACGGGGGGGGGGGTGCTAGGGGAGTGATTCCCAGGTGACTTCCCAGAGCATCTCAGCAGGTAGCTGGGTTATTTCATGAGAAAGGGGATTAAAAAAATACATTTTGTTTCCTTATTTCTTTTGGATCTGATGATCAGCACAGTTCCCAACACCTTGCATTTGATGTGCCTGTGGATGTTTGAGTCTGGGACACTGAGGACAGCTATAGCCCGGAGATACAGATTTAGGATACCTCAGCACACAGATGGTGTGGATGAGATCACCAGGGGAGTCTAGAGTGGGAAGAGTCTTCCTGAGATGGCTGAAGGACACATTTCTCATTCCAAAGCCAGAAATGGAGCTACAAGAGACTAAAGTCACATAGTTGTAACAGAGAAGACAAAAGAAAGTGGCGTATCCAAAAGATTGAAGCAAGGATGAAATAAAGAACTGGAAGAATTGAAAAGAGAAAGATGTAGTTAAGTGGTGAGGACAAGAGGTAGAAGATTAATGAATGGGGTGGACTAAGTAGCTCAGGCTATTGTTGTTGAAGATGCTGTGGGCCTGCTCAGAAGCCCTTTCTGGTAGTGCCACTGGAACTCTGGAAAGTAGCACTGGGCTGGGCACGTTACCCCTGACATTGTCAGTGATCATGGCCAGATCAATTTAAGGGAAAAGGGTCTTCAGGTTTGTGTTCTGGTGAATGCCTTATTAGTCCCAAGATGATCAGTCTTGGGATGCTATTGACAAAGGCATTTGTCAATATCAAATTTGTTAGGAAGCATAGCTTTTGGATCCCCTCTGCTTGGGAGGCCACTTGCACCTAAAATGAAGGCCACCTGCTCACATCAGTGTCAAGTGAAGGAAGGGTTTTGGATCCATTCTCATTATACCTCGATGTTACAGCTTGGTGGTTCAGTGTCAGAACGCTTCTGGCATGCTTTCTAAGTTTTCAACTCATGACCTTTTGAGGTGCAAGGATCAGCACTTTTAAACGTCACAAGGTCTTCTATCCAAGGTTCTGATTGCACTCTCCATGTGGCTCTAACAAGCATTGCTTCAAATCTCAGTTGCTTAACCCAATCAAAGTTTATTTGCCAATGATGCCAAGGTGAGGTAGCGGCTCATGGAACAGCAGCTATGGCATTACCTGGGAGCTTGTTAGAGTTCCAAATCTCAGGCCTACCCCAGATCTACTGCATCAAGGTCTGCATTTTAATAAGATCCCAAGTCATATGCATGCACAAATGCTTGAGAAAACACTGCCCTAGATTACCAAAGACCGCCCTCTTTGGTGAGCAACATATTTTTCAAACATGAGGGAGAGGAGGCAATCAGACTCAATGCAATAGGGGCAGGGAAAAACAAAAAGCAGCAGTTTTGGCCTGCTAGGAAATGCTGAATTATGCCAAACTATGCAGTCTCTTCCTAAAATCCCAGCACACTGGTGCCCAGTGCATGGACGGTAAGAGCCAGCCTTGATTCAGGACCCACAGCATTGTGGAGTTAGATGGCCTGGCTCTCCTATGCCTGCTTCCTGGGATAGACTCCATGGCAGGCTGATTTCCATTTCTTCAGTTTGCCTCTTTGCTGTTGTTGCCTGGGCTTACAGGTGGGAAGAAGAGGAACTGATTGACTGCTGTAAGTCCTATTATAAAATTGGAAAATCTAGCCCAGTTTTTTTCCCACATGGCACCCCAAAGTGCTAACATTAAGGGGGTGATTACTGGCCCTTTATTATTCTCATTTTGGCAAAGCTGTTTTTTCACCCCCACACCTAGTTCAAGGTTAATTCTGTGTTATTTTCTCCCTGCGGGCCTGTGCTGAGTGCCACAGGGAATAGCATTTAGCAACACCAAGCAGGAGAGGCAGAGAGAGCAACATTAACTCCGCACAGGGCTTGGAAATTGGCTTCATTTGATGGCAGGAAGATGTGTGTTTTTATGGTGTTAACTGTGAAGGGGTGCAAAGCAGCCGGTGCTGAGAGCGCCAAAGCAGCTCCTTCCCAGGGGCTCTGGCACATGAGGCTGCCAGGGGTGGCTCCTGGCTGCATCCCCATTGTGAGAGTTTTACTGGAAGGAGTACTAAGGGGGAGAGGAGAGAAGCTTTGCTTTAGTAGGATGGGGCCCTTGGGAAACTAGGTGAGAGCGAATTACAGAGGGTTTGGGCTGAATATAAGGGATGAGTGGAGAATGCATCCCCAGAGGGGGAGGTGGGTGGAGGGGATTCCAGCCCCTCCCATGACATCTACACTGTGACCCCATAGACCACTGGAATCAGAAATAGCCCTGCCTATATAGGGGACCCAGAAACCACATACCCAGTCCATTCGATTCAAAAACTAGTATCCTCTCCCTTCTTTTATCAAAGACTCCTAGTCTCCCACCCCAAATCCATTCTCCCTTCTTGCTTACTAGCAGAAGCTTAGTTTTATCCTGGGTGGCAAGATGCCAAGGGAAAAGATGACATTTGCCAGGCTTCTTTGCCAGGAGGCATGGCCCAAGGATATTAACAGCAGTCACTAGATAGGGCTTTTGGGTAAGCCTTTCAGTGGACTGGCTCAGTCAGGGGACACTGCTTCTCTTCCTCCTTCCTTCTGTCTGAAATATGGGTGTCTGCTAGGATCTAGAGGCAAATTCAATGTCAAATCCTATGGTGGAGAAAGTGAAGCTGGTTGCTGCGTAACTGCCATACCTGCAGTGTTTCTGGACTTTTGCCTAAGAAGCCATTTGCTTGAATTTTCTGTGTATGTGGGAAGCTCAATTCCAAGTCGGCACCTGCCATGTTCAGAGTACTGTGGTTATAACTCAGGGGTGGGGATGGCTCCTTGGAAGTTAGGGTGGCCTCACAGCCTGCCAAGGATCTGACAGGAAGAGGCTGTTTTGCCTAATGAGTAACTGGCTCAGAAGTTGGATGGATCACACTTTAATGCTTTGCTCCTAACTACCCCTGTAGCTGACCTTGGGCAAGCAGCTTCCCTTTTCTGAGCCTTGGTTTCCCTGTTTCCTCTTCTGCAAAGTAGAAATAATAACTTCCCCCTGGGTTTCTCTATCTCTGTCTCTCTGTCTTTTGAGAATTAGAAGTAACGCAGGGAAGTGTGAACCCAGAGTAGAGGCTCAGGGATTGGCAACTGTTGTTTTCATCTCCTTCAGTCTCCTCTTTAATTTAACCTAATAGTTCAGTGTACAAGGCCTTTATCTCTGGCTGAAATCTACATTTCCCGCACCCTCTCCTGCCCTGGCCTTCATTCCCTTTATACTTCTGTTTTCCACTTGAACGTCTACTCGTCTCGAAACTTGTCCAACCCTTGTGCAAGTTGATGCCTTTTACATTGTCCCCTTTAGTAAAGAGGATTCTCAACTCAGTCCTACTGACATTTTGCATCAGCAGCTGCTCGATGGGGGACCTATTCCATGCATTAAAGGATGTTCTGGAACATAGCTTACCTCTACCCAATAAAAACTAGTAGCAAATCCTAGCCATGGCAACCAAAAGTATCTTCAGACATCCCAAATGTCCCATGGAGTTAAACGTGCCCCATTGAGAATCCCGATCCAATGTTTTTCACTCCTGCTCATTATGGCGCACTCCTACTCATCCTTCAATGCCCACCTATAATGTTACTCCCTATTACAGCCTTTCTGGTCTTCTCCAAAAGAAGTAAAAATTAATTGCTTTGTCTCCTGTGTTCTCCTGCCCCCTTCTTTTTTATTTCTGTGTTTACTGTTAATTTCTTTCATGATAATGCATCTAGCTACTTGGTACTTATTGAGGGAACTGTCTTACTTATCTTTTGACCCCCAGCATTTAGCACAGGTCTTCCACTTAGTAGATTTAAAAAAAATGAATAAATCAGAAACAACCAAGTGAAGAAATGTCTTCTCAAAGACGATTTTGTGCTTAAGAGTAATTTGAACAGGAACCACCATCTGATTGAAGTTAAAAGAAAATGTGCAGGTACTACTGAGTACTCCTGGGAACATATGTTGATAAGGTGCATTCTTTAACAATATTTAGTTTCAAGGAAGCAATGGAAAGATGCTTGGGTGTTAGAAAGGAAGAAAGGATGAAATGACCACGGGACTTGGGAAGAAAGAAATCTTTACATCTGCTTGGTGTAAAGAAAACATGTGTGTGAAAGGGTGAAGCTGCAGAACAGCTACGTCATGAATCACTTCAGGGAGGATCAATATAGGTGGTCAAAGAAGAGTTGTCCACTGGGACTAGAAAACCTGGAGAAGAAATGGCTTCTGATCAAAGCCCTGGCTGCCCCTTTGACCATGTATATTTCTATGACCAAAAATACCCCACACTAGCTCCAGTCCAACAAAATTGGTCTCCTTGCTGTTTCTCAACACTCGGTTTTTCTACCTCAGGACATTTGCACCTGTTGGTTCTTCTGCCTGAGAAATTTTTCCCTTGATCCTGACTTTGCTCCCTTATTTCATTCGAACTTCTGCTCAGATGTCAAACCATTGAGTCTCTAGATCGATGATAATATCCTTCCCAGGCATTCTTT